AAAAATGAGGCGGGTACCAATGAGCCTGCGTCCAAGTCCAAGCCGAAGAATAACAAGAAGAAGGACAACAAGAAGAAGGACAAGAGTAAGGCCAAGAAGGCTTCGTTTCGCCGTGCCAACAAACGCCGTGCCAACCGCGCTGGTGCTCATCATGCTACTGGGGGTGGTGCTGCCAACGCATCACAGGGCGATTCGAATCCATCACAGCCTTCGGGTGGTGCATCAAACCCTTCTCTTGGCCCTCCTGGTTCCCACAAGGCTGGACATGAGGAGGTCCACAACCATTGGAAAGCAACATGTGATGTACACATATAGTTTGATCATTTAAAGATCATTCAATGTATACATACAAAGCCGTTGAAGGGAAACAAATTGTAGAGCTCACAACTCACACTATTTTCAAGAGGTGGCCTGAAGCCCTTTTTTGTTCCTAAAAATAAAGGTCCTCAGGCCACCTCTTGAGAAGGTCATCGATCGCCTTGGATTGGGGGTATTGAGCCCCCTCTCCCCCCAACCAGGCCTCGGAGTACCATGGATACAGCTTGGAGTCCTTGCCAGTGAACGCTCGGCCTGATCCAAACCGCCGCCACTTTGGCAAACACAGCTACACGGTCCACAAAGGTGCAGCAAAGATCGAAGTCTTGCTCAACAAGAGGGCGTTCTACGTGAGGGGCCCCTCTAAGGGGCAAGTGTCATGGGCCAAATATGGTGGTCCACGCGACGCGTGGATCAAAGCCTGCGCTAAGGCAGGTGTTGTCCCATAGTTTGAACCCTGAAGGCCACGCAGAAGATTTTAGGCCCCTCACCGGTATTCTTTTAGATGAGTGATCTAAACAATGTCCACTTGCAAAACTCATGAACCAAACGCTTGTTGTTGCCGGCGGGGTGTGCCTGAGGGGGGGCTGCAGCATTGATGGCAATGCGCTACGCAGTGGATGCAAAGCATCTCTTTAGAGCTCATATAGAAAGATTTGGATGTATTGCCGCCCAGGATCATCCGAAAAGAATGACCTATATATAACTCAGTCAAACGTCTTCAAGTTCCATGCGTAACATGTGTACGAACTTTTGATGGTGTTTAGATTCCCCAACCCCTTCAGTCGATTTCCATGTGTGGGCCTATAGCCTGCTCCAATCTCAAGCCTGTTGAACAAGCCTAGTGTCCTTCTTTGTAGAGGTTTCAAGATGGGCAAAACCACGAGTTCCAGCACAGAAGAGTGTCTACAGGCTCTCAAGACGGCAAACACCAGATGTGGCTGGTGAGCAAATGAACTACCGCGAGGTGAAGCGGCAGTCCATCATCGCGGGCCTGAGAATGCTTCGTGCTCCAGCGGACCCTCGGCATAATGACAAAAAAAGTCGACAGGCCTCTATAAATCTGACCCTCACAAGTCCTACGCTAACTCCACTAGTTTCAAGGTTCAAACAGGACTTGTGGGGGTCAGATTGACAGGCGTCAAATTTCCAGAACCTATATGAAGGTGCGAGATGCCTGTATCACATGTTTCCCAATGATTATGAAACTTTTGTTGAAAGGGCTCTCTTTTCATTGGGGCAAGTTTTACCATCACATGTCCATGGGCTACCGAGATTGTAGCGGTGTTGGTGAACATGGTGTTCGGCCTGCCCTTCCTGGAGTTTTCCAAGCTTCAGCACGTGGAGCTGTTTGCTGGACAATGTGCGGTCACGTGGTCAGAGCTGAAGGACGCGCTCGCGTTTCCAAAAAAAACACTTTGGTAGATTTGAGTGTCTTTGGCGTTCCAAAATGCTTTCCCACAACCCGAAGAAAGACCAAGGGACCTAAAAGGCAATTGTTGTTTGGCACCCTTTTGTATTGGTTTGGGAAGCTTTTGGAAATGGAAAAATGTCGCTCCCCAATATCTGTTCAAGCTGGCGCAGGAGGGGCGCAAGGCAATTGCGATGGATGTGGAAATTGGGGGCGAGGTAATGGACTTGACCACCAACGCGGGATTTGTTGCTGCTCTTTACCACACCTGCAGACTATCACCCGGCTCGGGGTGGCTGGCGGCTCCAGTTTGCTCTTCATTCGTCTTTATGCATCTTGCTTTTATGCGTTCAGGAAACTATGGGAAGAATCCTGTTGGAAAAAACAAGGGTTGGTGTTCATCAACTTCCCATGAAAGGTCCACGTGATATATAAGCAACCAGGGCCAAGGGATTTTGCAAACGCTGCCTGTTCACCTCTCTGTCTCTTCAATGGTCTGTGTCTCAGTCTGAGGTCGCATGGAACGACAAAGCGGAGCGCTTCAAGACCACTGGGAGAAGAGTCATATCCCAGTGTTGCTCTGGGCAATCTTTTGCTGGCCCGGACGCTGGTTATCTTGATGGTGGCCCATGCTTTGGGGTGCATGTGGATTCTGGAACAACCGAAAGGTAGTGTGATGGAACTTCACCCTCTTTTTCAAGAGATGATGGGCAAGCTCACCATGTGGAAGCATACAATATCCATGGGGAGATATGGAGCTAATTCTGACAAGCCAACATGGCTTTATGCGAGTATCACGGTTCAGCTCAACAAACTCTTTGAATTCTTTTGGTTGCCAATAAAGTGTCCCAAACATCAATTATTCACTCCCCCTGGTCTTTCCACATCCCTTCCACTGGTGAGGCCACAACTGTGTCGAAGACCTCGAAGACTTCAAGCCTAAGTGGCTTCCAGAGCGTGAGGAAGTCGAGATGGCTGTTATCTATGAGGATTCGAAAGGGCTGAAGCGGGTGAAAGGTGGACGCCACCTCAAAGCTTCCCAAGCTTATCCAATTGGGTGTCTCGGTGATC